AATTTAATGTGCACTATTTCTGGCAGTCTGCTTAGGCCCTAAGTGACAGCCCAGCTAGTGTAGTGTACAGGTGCCTTGAGAAAAATGCCGGAGAAAAATACCACCTGTATTCAGAATTGTTGCCAGGTTAAAATACCATTTTCAGCTCATTGAGGAAAAGGTTGGATGCAATTTATAAATGACACTTAAGGAGAATACTTATGAGGCTGGCACTGTATACAAACTATCCATCTTGTACAGTGCACCGAAGTCTTCATTGTGATTTGTAGAGAAAGAAAGAAAGCCCAGGTGAACACTTTACTGATGCTTCAATTACATGACGATTACATCAGTGGAGCCCTTAACTATACCCATTCCAGACTCCACTCAGTTCAAATCAAATTATACTTGTAATTGTAGCCTTCTAAAACAGTAGCTAATTTTTTGTTAGTCTTTTACAAAATAAAAATAAAAATGGATGGGTCCATTAGGTTTCAGTGCATTTTGGTTTGAAAATCCCATTGTAACTCAGAACTAAAATCCTAAAGTGACATTTTATAAAAATGAACAAATGTATTATGGAATAAAGTGGGTGGTGTGCTGTTATTGTCTGGTTCATTCAGCCTATACACAAAATGATGCACCCTGTTGGCAGGCATATTTTATGAAGTCATGTGGAATGGAGCTGGTTTGTGAATTCAGCACTTTACACTGGGGTCTTTGAAGTTCCTTTGTCTTAACTGTTTGCATCATTACATGAATAGTAATGTATTATGTATTTATTGCACTTCTATCCTGCCTTTCTGCCCAAATGGGATCTGAAGCAGAACTAATGAACCCCACCATAGTGCTATAATATAATGTATTGTGCTTGTAGTCCCTTTATCCTATCCTTTGTCTAAGCAAAAAAATTGCTGATATGCTGAACTGTAGGCTCTAAGGCTTAAGAACAAACAAATAGAAACTTTGGGGTCTATATTCCCTTGAAATCTTCTATCCAACAGGTAAAGAACTTGATTTGATATTTTTAATCTCAGAAATTGTTTTTATGTTTTCTTTTGTTTCATTTTTAAAAATACTAGCTTAAAAGGGACATACCAGAGAAAAAAATGAAGTGTACACAGCTGGAGAATATTGAGAATGAAGAAGACTATATGAACATATCCTGCCTTTTTCATATAACTCCAAAAATTCCATTCAGGTTGAGCCAAGGAGAAGCACTCATCACATTTGAACAAGAAAGTGGTATGGAGTGTCTGTTCACATATATAAGTGCCTATTTTAAATCAATAAGTTTAAAGTTTAAAGTCTTTAAGTCTAAAGTGTTTGCTTGCTTCTGGTATGAACAGCTTAGAGCCAATTTGTATTTTAACAGTCAGGGAGTTTGTGAATTTATATTAACCAGGTAGTAGCCACAAAACTCTTGCTAAATATAGTGAAATAACTTATGATTTGATTTTCTAATAGTGTTCCAGATCAGCCACCTGAGGTAGCTGTTTCACTTTTATTGACAGGACTGGCTATAGTTAACAGTGTTGTTGTGGTTAATACATGAATTGGAACCAGGAAAAGGGATTGATAGAGCCAATTGACTGGGAAAAGGGTGGAAATCACAGGCCTCTAGCTGTTGCTGAACTGCAGTTCCCAAAAACTATAGCCAGACATAGCTAATGGGGGAATGCTGGGAGTTGTTGTCCCATCAACAACTGGAGGGCCACATGATTCCCACTTCTGGACTGGAATTTCCCACATTCTCTTGAACCAATAGGGCAGTTAAAGGTAAAGCCAATCTGCTGTTCTGGATTGATGGGTATATCATTACTGGTTGCACTGGGAGGAAAAAAAAACTTCAGACATATTGCTTTAGTACATCCCTTTATCATTCAAGATCATCTGGCTCATCCTGGTATTGTCCCAAGTCTTGTGACTATAATTTTATCAACAAGCTTTGACTGTTTGAACATTCAGTTGGTCTAAGGGTACAGGTGGAATAACCTGCTGTTCACCAATGGATAGTAGGCTAGTTCAAACTTAAGTTTGGCAGTAGACCTTCCATCCATGGCTGCCTTATTTCAATATATAACCACAGCTCAGTGAAGTTGCATTAAATAAGATGTTGCAGTGTCTTTAGTCACAAAGCAGCACTGAACAATGGAATAGATCTTAATTTTGGGTTAAGATAATGTTGAAACCATATCAAAAAAACATTCTCTGGTGTTGTAGTTGGGACAAAGGTCACAGTTCTTTCTTCTGTAGCACCAGATATCTTCTGTAGTACTTGACAGGGGTGTTAATAATAAATTGACAACAGTTTGTGATCACCACAGACCTTCTCTAACCCCTCTGAGGGGGGTTGCAGACTGTCAAAAATAGTGTGAATTCAGTCCACTTTTAGGGTTAGGGTTAAGGTTAGGGAATCATGGGAACTGAATTTTATTGTGGCACTAGAGTTCTCTGACAAAGAAGGTTCAATGTCTCAGAAAAATAACTCTCAACATGATTCCCTAGCACTAACCCTAACCCTAAAAGTGGACTGAATTCACACTATTTTTGACAGTCTGCAACCCCCCTGAGTAGCTTTTCTGTCCCTAGTGCTAGACCTACTGCTGGAATCTTCTTAGGGGAAACAGGTTACTTAAGCATAATTCACCAAATGAACTATTGCTGTATCTGCACTGCAAAAATAATTCAGTTTGACAACACTTTTAACTGCTATGGCTCAATTCTATGGAATTCTGAGAACTGTAGTTTGTGGCACAAGAGCTCTCTGATAGAGAAGGCTAAATGTCTAATTAAATAACAGTTCCTAGAATTCCATAGCATTGAGTCATGGCAGTTAAAGTGGTGTCCAACCACTTTATTTTTAATTTCTGCAGTGCGGATGCAGCCTATGAAGAGAAGGGAGGAGGCATACCTATATACTGTGTATACAGTTACGGTTTTCTCATGTACTCTCTACTTCCTGCTCTTAACAGTAGTGAGATAGCAGCATACATTGGCAATCAATACAAGACTGATAATTTCTAGAAAATTCTCGTTGTTGTTGTCTGCCTTTATGCCATTTCTGACTTATGGCAACATGGGGTTTTCTTGGCAGATTTTTTTTTTCTGAGAAGGTTTAACCTTGCTTTCCTCTGAGGCTGAGAGAGTATGGCCTGCCCAAAGTCAGCCAGTGTATTTCAATGGCAGAATGGGGATTCGAACCCTGGTATCTCTGTGCCAGTTCAAAATACAAAACACTGCACCACACTGCCTCTTACTTCTGGAAATATGGAAGTACACATGAGACCTGTTATACACAAATGTCACAGGTTGTAGCATTGTGTGAGTTCATTCCTCACAGTTTTTATTATTATATAACCTCATGATTTGTGAGTTTTTATAACCACCCTCATGGAAATGTATTTACATGTTGTTGTTCAGTTGCCCAGGAACTGATTAAAAAGCATTCTCACACTGTGCAAATGGAAAATGAGAAGATACTTCTGCAAGCTCTGCCTGTTACTCTGGAGACAGGAGTAGCATTTGAGGTAAATTAATGGTCATGAAAGCTATTTAAAACATACCAAGGTGTTATGAATCCTGTATACGAGTATGTATCAGTGAATGGATATGTTGTTTTATAAGTAGCTATAATCCTATGCACACCTTACTAGTAGGATGGCCAGGTATCGTATATCATGCTGGTTGGCCCATAAGGGGAAGAAAAGGATTCTATCTGACTTTTCCATGCCCTGCCCTCAGATATTGACATCTCTAGGAAGTTAACATTTGAATAAAACTTATATTTGAATAGAGTTAAATTCAGATTAACTACCTATAGGGAGTTACATTCAAGTAAAATGAGGGTCCCCCCCCCTTTTTCTTTAACAAAGAAGGTGGTCTGTTTTACCTAATGAATGTGGTAAGATATTTTGTGAATACAGTGTTCAGATAATAGCCAGATAATTCACTGACATTCTAATAAGTCCTAATTTTAGGACAGTCAAGGGTTTTCTGTAGATCAGTTATGAAGACTGTTTTATGGACAAAGAGCTTGGCCCCACATTATCTGATCCAGAGCTTGGAAATTTTTACTGGTTTGGGTTACTGCTCCTACCATTCACCAGCTAGTGTAGTTACTGGCCACACTGGTAGGGGATACTGGGATGTATAGTCTAAAAGGTAACTTGAATGCTTGATCAGATTATGGATACTGCTTGTTCATACCTGGTGGCACATGATATAACACAGCTTGGCACATTGCCGATTTCCATACCAGCATCAGGCAGTGCTGGACTCAGTTCTAGTGTGAAAACTTCTCATGTGATTGGAGATTGGAGGTATCTACATGGTATAGACTGCATTAGACACAGCAGCCATTGTTATCCTTTTAATATCTACCTATCCAGTTCAGTCCATGCTCACAATTATCGTACCTTGAAATGTGAGAAATTATTTAATCTCTGATATTCACAATAAAGCTTGTTTATGAGGTTTCTTGCTGCAACTTTTTTGCTGTCCATTGTAGAGATGATGAGAATATGGTGAAAACTTACTCTATGGTCAAGGCATGTTTTCATTTTTAGCTGTTGTATTTTAACAGGGCTAAATGCCTAGTTTCTATTTCACATGTATAATTTTGTATTGTATTTCCAGCTCCATTCTAAGATCTCTCGAAGAAACTTTGAAGTTTCTAACATCCCAGAATTAAACATCCCTGAGGAGTGGATGAGAGAGAAGTTGGAACTGCATTTTTGCAAAACTAAATTGGGTGGAGGAGTACAGAAGGTGACTTATGACCCATGGTCTCAGATGGCTCTCATTACATTTGCCCAACCTCTAGGTAATTTCTGAAGAATTCTGCTAGCTAACCTTGTAGGCTCTCCTTTGGACCACCTTGCTAGTTCAGTAATATTGTTCTTTTGTTTTTGAGTTACGTTATAATTTGAACTTTAGATAGTTTGGAGGAAACTTAGATCAGTTCCAGTCCAGGTCCTGATCTCAGTTGAGGACTTCTCAGCCAATTGGATGGCTCATGCTCCTTCAGGTACCAGTAACTGGAAAAGGAACAGAGCCACTGTGATACTGTGCCCCTGAAGAAAGTTCCATTTTGTCCAGTGGGTTGGTACAGGTGCTTCATTGTGGGTCATGCTTGGGGAGAGTCACTGGCTGATGTTAAAGCTGCAGACTTACACACAGTTGCTTGGCAGTGGGACACCATTGAAGTCAAGGAGGCTTACTTTTGAGTCAGTTACCTAGACTTCTCTAGGTTTCACCTTTATTGCCTTAGGACAAGCATTCCTTCTCCTTGAATAAGAGGTATTTCTTAGGACTGTATTTTATTTTTATTCCAGCTGCTAATGATATTGCACGGTTTGGATCATGCTTTTTCAATACAAGTGGATGGACTGTTTCATTCATGGTTTCCCCTGTCACACAGAGGCATCTGGAACAATTTCAGGTAAAAACTAGACCAGACCAAACCACAAGGTGGGCTAACTGGAGATGACAGACCTTCAGTTGATTTTTAGTTATTATATATTAAAATGACTAAACGCCTGGTTTCTGTTTCACATGTATAATTTTGTATTGTATTTCCAGCCCCATTCTAAGATCTCTTGAAAAAATCTTCACAGTCTTAACCAGACCTAAGTCAATAGATGTGATAAACTTTCAGCTTCATTTAAACCTACTTGTTATTCCCCTACCTTTACAGAGGACAGAGGATTTCCTATAATTAAGCCTTAAAGGCTAGAAGTAGCTCAGACTAGGAGGAACCATGAAGCCCTCCAGATGATGTTGGATTGTAATTCCCAGCATTACGTACCATTACATATACTGCCTAGAGCTACTCGGGCTTTCAGCCCAACAGCCTCTGGAAAGCCATGTTATTTCCATGCCTGTTCTATAGGAAATTGTAGGATTGAGAAGCTCAGTATCAAGTGTATATAATAAAGTCAACATCCATTCAGCTAAGAATCACTGAGCATAATTCATGTTCTTTTTCTTCTGATTTTGCTCATTGACCTGACTTGAATTTCCCTTATAGCATTTGGGTTGCTGACTTTTCAAGCAGACTCTGTATCAAGCAGCCATTGCCTTTTAAGAGATGCTTAATAGGATAGCATTTTTTTGGTTCATTGACAACCCTACAGAGTGCTAAACTGCTTTTTTTGAAAATTAGGCACATGGGGTTTGGAAGAAGAACCAAAGGGAACTATCTTCCCAATGCAGATAGCTTCATGAGGTAATTTTAATCAAGACCGTAGCAGGGAAAAGGGGATTAAAGCCTGTATCCTAATGCTCATTCCCAACTAGAGTAGATAAAAACTTCTGTAGTTATTCTTTATATTTCTTTTTTTAAAAAAGTGTGTTAACTAAGTGTTCATCTAAGGTTGCCCTCCAGTTTGCCTCTTAAAATACAGATTTATAAACAGGAAAGTATAAAGTTCAACAAGGTTATCTTTCTTAATACTTACTTAATACCAGCATTTTTGACCTGCTGATTCAAGCATTCCTTCAGAAAACTGAGAGCTATGTGATATAATGTATGGTATGTTCTTTTTTCCAGATATTTTCAGGGATTTCCAGGAAAACCATCCTGTTAACAGGAATCAAGGTTGAAGAGGAGGATGTAGAGAATGTGGAAGATATGATTGTGATCCACTTTCAGAAAGCTAGTAATGGTGGTGGGGAAGTTGAAAATATCAAATATGCTTCAAAAGGAGGCAAAATTGCTTATTTTGAGAATGATGTTATATGACAAACTCAGGATGAAGTTGAATATTATGGCTCATTTCCCCATTTTGTGAAGGGCTTCGTACAATAACTTAAAAAAATTACTCTGGATATTGTGGCTAATTGGTTTCTGGTAAAATATTATATTGCATAATGCCCATGGCTCTGATCCACTAAGGACTGGAGGCTCAATGTTGCACTGGTTTATTTAGATGACTGCCCCTGTGTTGAGGGCTTCCTCTCAAGCAAGTGTCCACAAGATTGCAGCCTAAGTCCTGTGTAAAGTGATGGGACTTGTTCAAGCATGAATATCTTGGCTCTGCCAGTTTCAGTGATTTGCATACAGACTTAGATCATACTTAAAGGTAGATCCATTGAATAAGTGAGAAATAAATAAATCACGATGGACCTAAATACCATGGATTTTTGAAGTCTACTCCAAATATTACCAGACTTAATATAACACAATGTGATTTAGTTATTATGTACTTTTACATGAATTGGAGGCCAGGTGTTTACCTGCACATACTACTGTACAAACAGCTCAATTATAATTGATTGTACCACAAATGGTTTTGATGAAAGTACTGTGAGGGCTGAGAATATCAAAGAATGAAGTTATTTCTCTGATTTGCAAGTGGGTGTATGGTCTGTGTCCCCTGAACTTTTGAAAACAAAATAACGTTTCTCTGAACCCCAACAGTCCATGGTTCAGGCACTGGGACATGTTATTTTGACACTACAGGATTAGGTGACCCCCCACCTCCTCCAGCTTAGTGTATGGGTTTCCTGTACATTAAGATAACCCACAAGTGAGAGCTAGATATACTGAAATACCATGGGCAGAATTCACAGAACTGTGGATGGAGATCCATGGAGTTCCTGACCAGTCAATGTGATATTACTCCTAGTTATGTCATGTTACATAGAGGACTGGAGGGGGCTGTAGGAATTGCAAAAGTAGAGTTCCAAGGTTCACTTTGGACTCATGGGATGCACTTTCCCCACACTGTTACAGACTGCTGTTCTTCCTCAGAACTACTTTAGTAGTTGAAGACTGGTATTCTTTCTCAAAAGTTGTTTGGTACACCACAAAGAAGGAATTGAACTTAATGAAACAAACCTGAAGAGTGGATAGAATTTGGGTGCATTGGTAGGAACTCCACTCTTTCTCTTACATGTATCACCATGCAGAATGTCTGCTGTTGCACAGTCACTTGCTATCTTAAGTTGCTTGGAATATTTTTAGCTTTTGAGTTTGTCTTTCCTTCCCAAAATAATTTTAACATGAAAATTGATGCTAACATCCTTTGTTACTATTCAGCAAGAGGTTTCTAAAAGATGATTTTCACATGTAATTAAATATCCTGAGTTTTTTTACTTAATAGAAAATCAGTCTGAGCTCAGTGTTTCCCATTGAAGCACTGTCCATATCCACAGCTTTGGTATGGTAGAAGCCATTTTCTGTAGGGCATCACTATGCTGTTTTTATGAGTAATTATAGGAGCAGATGTTGCTAACAACAGAAGGACTCTTGCATTCAGATAGCTCTTTTCTAGTTTAGCAGAAGATACTGCTTGGAATGTTGGAAATTGATGTTGATGAAGTGTTGTAAACAGTCCTTT